CACAGTGGGCTGGGCCCTCCCACATCACTCATCAAGAAGATGCCCTTTAGACATGGCCACAGGCCAGTCCAATAGCAGCAATTCTCCAATTGACGCTCCCTCAACCCAGGTATGTCAAGCTGACACCAAAGCTATCCAGCACACCTGTCGTGCCAGTACTTGGGAGGCAAGGGTAGGCTGATCTTTGTGATTTCAAGGCCAGTCTGATCTACATAGCAATTTTTAGGCTAGTCAGGGTTACATAGTGAAATCCTTCCCCAAACCCCCCAAAAATGCATCCCTAAGATGTTGATGACGCTGACAATCATGATGTTCATAATAGCTAATACTTACTACACATTGTCTGTTACATGGAATACATTCTTTACATGAGGCTTACATATAAAAATTGCCCATCACTGTATGATATAGATTCTTTTAAGATAAAATAATAATTATTTTTTAAGCTTAATTTTTTTTTACATTTATTTATTGGGGGGGGTGTGCACCACAGTGAAATGCACACCTCTGTGTGTGTGTGTGAGTGTGTGTGTGTGTGTGTGTGTGTGTGTGTGTGTATCAGAGGATAACTTTGGGGAGCTGGTTTTCTCCTTTCACTATATGGTTTACCAGGGACTAAATTCAGGTCATCAGGCTTGGTAGCAAGAGCCTTTCCTCACTGAACCACCTTGCCAGCTCCAGAGTCTTTTACTATTCCAATTTACAACTAATAAAAAATAGCCCAGAGAAATTACATAACTTAGGTGGGCGTGTTGGCACGTCTTTAATCCTAGCACTCGGGAGGCAGAGGCAGCAGATCTCTGTGAGATCAAGGCCAGGCTGGTCTACATAGTGAGTTCCAGGCCAGCTGGGGCTACAGGGAGACCCTGTCTCAAAAAGACCAAAAAAATATAAAAATAAATAAATAAATACAGAATAAATCCATTTTATGAGGCCTGCCATGTGCTTAGCTAGGTGAAAAAAAACCCTAAGACATAGTCCATTCTTCCAGGGCGGTTACAAGGAAAAGCTAACATGATACCATGATTTTGAAAACATACTGAAAATCTATGCATCCAAGTAGGGATCACTTGTTTGGTGACATATCTATCTACTGCTCAAAAGCTGCTGGAAATAATTTATGAGACATACAAGAGTAAACTCATTACTTTAAGGTCACAGTTTATTTTTATCCCAAAGAGTGCTATCTATCCTAATTACTATTGTGTTTGCTATTTGGTTAGTTCTAAACAACTATTTCTTTTTTTTAAAAAAAAATTTTATTATTTTTATGTGTAAGCATGTATTGTGTGCATGTAGGTAAGTGCACCCATGTTGTGTAATGCCCGCAGAGGACAGAAGAGATTGTCAGATCCCCTGGAACTGGCGTTATGGACAGTTGTTAGCTGACATGTGGGTGCTGGGATTCAAATCCAGGTCTTCTGCAAGAACAACAAGTGTTCTTAACCGCTGAGCCATCTCTCTAGCCCCCCCAAAAGAACTATTTCTTCTTTATGGGAGAGAAATTTACTGCTATTGTTATGTGGGTATGTTTTGTGAACACAATGTTCTTACAAATACAGGTGTAGTATACACACACATGCATGTCTTCTTGTGGGTTATGAGGACAATTCCCATAGGTCTGAACAAAATCAGTACTGTCCAAAAGGAATAGGATACGAATGCCTATAATTTGAAACTTTCTACTACCCAACTATTTCCCCCCTCATCGACCAGTTACTTTAATGTACCATTTGTGTTTCTGCTAAGTCATTAACTAATACATATCTCTTCATTTGACAAAGCTAAATGTATGTATTTTAATGATAATTTTTTTCTTTTTCTTTTTTTCTATTTTAGTAGTCAATTTTTTGTTTGGTTTTAAAAATACCTTATTTTATTATTCTTATTTTATGTGTATGAGTGTATTGCCTGCATGTGTGTAAGTCCAAAGTGCACCCTTGTTGTGCAATACCCACGGAGGTCAGAAGAGGGAGTTGGATCCCCTAGAACTGGCATTATGGATGGTTGTTAGCTGCCATTGGGTGCTAAGAACCAAACCTAGGTCCTCTTCAAGAGTAGCCAGTGACTCTTAAGCACTGAATCATCTCTTAGCCCCTTAGTTTTGTTTTTTGAGACAGGGTCTCACTCTGTAACCCAGGATGTCCTGGAATTTACTACATAGTCTAGGCTGCCCTTAAACTCATCAAAATTCTTCTGATTTGGCTTCCAAATACTAGATTACAGGTATGAACCACAATACCTGGAGTGTGTATGTATGTGTGAGTGTTTTGCTGGGTTGTGTGTGTGTTGCTGGGAACCAAACTCAGGACCTTGCACATGCTAGGCAAGTGACATGCCACTGAGTAGAGGAAACAGGTGAAGTTAATTTTAATAATAATTTAAAATTTTAATGGTGTTAAAATATCTTTCCAACAAGTGATCAACATAAAAGTTATTGAGAAGTTCTTCATTTTAATATTGAATCTTTAAAATCTGCTATTTATCTTATAGCTACCTATCTATCTATCTATCTATCTATCTATCTATCTATCTATCTATCTATCTATCTAATCTGTCTACATATTTGTGTATGTGTGTGTGTGTCCAGGCATGTGGACCTACAGTAGAGTGACCACATCTTATTGTCTAAGGTAACAATGTTCTTAACAGTATGTATGCAAGTGGATACTGTTGAATGACTAAAGATAGTTTATGATTACATTTAATTCAGGTATAGCTCTAATTAATGTCAAGAGTTTGGAGGGCAAAATACTTCAAAGAAGTCAAAGCCTTTTTTATGGAATTTATTAATAAAGGATGAGAAGTTGGAGAAATGAAGGAAGGCTACAACATTCAAACACTGACCCTTTTACTAGACCAAGGAGCCAAGAAAACCACAATTTAAATAGACAGATGAGGTGGCCATGGTGACACACACTTTTAATCCCAGTACTCAGGAAGCAGAGGCAAGCAGATCTCTGGGAGTTCAAGCCAGCCTGGTTTATATAGTGAGTTCCAGGCCATCCAGGGCTACATAGTGACCCTGACTTTAAAAAAAAAATGATTTGTCAACTACATGATGTTGCCAAGAACCCAGTGTTAGGTTTGTGAGCAGATACATACATGGAATTTGGTAGTGAAATATAGAGATGGAGAAATCTGTAACATCTTACTTCCTAACAACTGATTTATAATCTTTTTATAGTCTCTGGACTCCAGTTAACTCAAATGTAAACTAAAGTGGATGCAATACAGAGGTTCCTTACAGCTAGGGTGATGTATATTTTATTGTGCAAACCTGGTCATTCTCAAGAATATAAGGAGGGCAGTATTCATAACTATACTGGGATGCAAGGCACAAACTGAGATTTTTCTGTTTTTTTTCATATATATGTATTTTTAAAATTTATTTTATTTATTATTTTTATTTTATGTGTATGTGTGTACTGCCTACATGTAGGTAAGTGCACCTGTGTCGTGCAATGCCCGTGGAGGTCAGAAGAGGCTGTTGGATCCCCTAGGACTGGAGTTACAGACAGCTGTTAGCTGCCATGTGGGTGCTGGGATTCGAGCCCGGGTCTTCTGCAAGAACAATCAGTGTCCTTAACCTCTGAGCCATCTCTCCAGCCCCCTATATTTTTATTTTTTGAGATAGGCTCTAATGTAGTCCAGGCTGAGGCACTAAGTAGCCAAGGCTAGCCTTGAACTACTGATCTTCCTGTCTCTACTTCTCCAATACTAAGATTACAGGTATGGGACACAATGCCTGGCTAAACCAGGATATTGTCAATTTAAACCAATATGATCTGGTATAACTGAGTGCATACAGTAGGGATGTGGAAAGGAGTCTAATGTGTTCTGATTACTTCTGCATGAGTACAGGGGCTCTATGGGCCAATATACATGTATCTGGGAGGGCTGGTTTCATATACTCATTACCTGAAAAGCAATTTAAATTGCTTTGAATTTGGAAACTGGGTTCCACATGGACAGAGCTGGATTTTAACAGCCTGAATGTATTTACTGAGTGCAACAAATCATGGACAGGCCAAATGTAACAGAGTAAAGGCTTAGCCTGCTTGCACTTAGAAACTCACTTTGTAATTGTAGGCCTCTAGACAGGCCTAATCAATTGAAGAGGCTGATTTTAACCAGTTGCAGGCTTATTACTCTGCATTCCAGTTGGGGGTGGTGAAAATCGGTTTCAGGCTGTGGCCTGGCCTGGAACTCATGTACTGCACCTCCCGTGGCCTCTTCTATAAACATACCAAATTATTTTTATTTGGATTGACCTTCTCTCTTTAACAACAACAACAAAACCTACTTTGTGAATCATGATTAAAATAGAACAATTCAATGTGCATCTAGGACATATAATCAAATACATACATGATCTAGAAACATGTATGAAGTCAGAGTCTGTGGGAGCGATTCTTACATGCCCTGGTGGAGGGTGGGGTGGACTGAGAAGAGGGACTCAAATATCCACCACTAATGAGCCAGCTTGGCTATTTCCACAGGATGGAACAGAGGGAGCAGTTATTGAAAATGATATTTTATTTTATTTATTTTTTTGGGGGGTCTTTTTGAGACAGGGTCTCCCTGTAGCCCCAGATGTCCTGGAACTCACCATGTTGACCAGGCTAGCCTTGAACTCACAGAGATCCGCCTGCCTCTGCCTCCCGAGTGCTGGAGTTAAAGGCGTGTGCTACCACACCCAGCTGAAAATAATGGTATTTTAAAAGAAAATCATAAAATAGGAAAAGGTCAAGGTCTTCAAAGCACAGAGGGTATCTGAGTAGAGGTCACACTCTTCTTTGAAAGACCCAATAGGAAATATTTAATGACAAACTTTCAAGGAAACAAGGGCAAGTTTCTTTGAGAAGCTTCTAGGAGGGAGCCTCATAACATTCTGCCAGCCTTATAGTAGCTGGCAGGGGACTGTGCACTCAAACTGCTCAGAACCTGCATTTCAACAACCTGCAACTATTCCAAAGTAGGAGAGCCATGAACCATACCTGGCTGCTTGCCTTTTGTCGGTCTGTCGAGGCAGTTAGTCAACAGGAAAAGAATGTCGATGTATACAGCTCTGGTCACCAAGCATGGATTTTGCCTAGAAAAGTAAAGAACAGACAAGTTGCCTGGGCCATAAAAAGGAGAAAAATGGGTGCTTTCTAATAGACATGCCATGAGGCAGTTACATCAGCTAAAATATGATGGACAATGGTGAGTAGGGAGAAAAATCAGTGACTTGTAAGAAAATGAGTCTATGATTCTGCTGTGGAGGTTAGGGCTACGTGTGGTTAAGCAGATAAAACTCATGTGGTGCTCCAGATAAAATAAACAGAAAACAAGCAAAACCCAAGATCCTATGCTAGTGAGTTAAAAACAGGAGGAGGGAGGAGACAAGAGGAGAAAACTAAAGAGGAGGGGATCACTAGTTATGAAATTCAGGGATTTAATACTTAAGTGAAGTAAACTGCATTCACATATGAAAAACCACATCTACTGACTTAAAATAGCCACTGAACAACACATAGATTAACAAACATTAGAGCTGGTGTCCTTTTCCTAACACGTAGGTGTTTTTTCTTCTGTCAATAATTGTCTCATTCTACCTTGGAACCATGTGGTAGAAATAACAAGTGGTAGCTGGGTGTGTGGCACATGCCTTTAGTCCCAACACTTGGGAGGCAGAGGCAAGTGGATCTCTGTGAGTTCCAGGCCAGCTGGGGCTACAGGGAGACCCTGTCTTAAAAAGATTTAAAAAAAAAAAAAAAGAAAGAAAGAAAGAAAGAAAGAAAGAAAGAAAGAACAAATGGCTTGGACTTTCTTTCATGCTTGAAGGACCCTGACTCTGAGTCCCAGTTCATACTGATCACTGATGGGACCAGAGTCTCTTTGGCGTGCTAAGGACCTGGCACATGATATAAAATAGTAGCACACAGCCAGGTCAGAGAGCTGGCTTTGCCACTTGTTATATCTGCGACCTGAGTAGACTCCTGGTCTATAACATTATTGTCTCCCTGTGAGCCACAGTGAGCATTAAGGTGTCAGAGTGACCTGCAAACATATCTTGGATGTCTGGCCTAATTACATCAGGGCCTGGCAGAACAGAAGCCGTAGGAGGACTCATCCCCTGTCCTCTACTTCTAAGATTAGGGATGGCACAAAAATGGGTGTTATAACCAATAGATTTCCTAACCCAACCTTTTCATCCTTTGTACGTATACAGTTTTACCAATTCTGAATGGTCTAGTCCCACTTCCATCCTGCTGAAGCTGGCATATTCTCTAATGCGAACAAAGCACCATCACCAGATGTGGTGGTATACACCTGCAACCCTAGCACATGGGAGAACAAGGCAGGAGGATCACAAGTTTATGGTTAGCCTGGACTACACAGGGAGATCCTGTCTCAAAGAAAACAAAACAGAACAAAACAAAAAGTCAACAAAACAGAAGTATGAGCATACGTTTAACTTGAAGCAAAGCAGTCTTATGGCCTCTGTGGCTGACTGCCCTGTTCAGCCCCTTTTACTGGTTTCCCTCACAATACCCAGGCCTAGTTGCTGCCTGACTCCCACCTTCCCAACCTACCAATTTAGATGATACCTTAGGTATCTATCTGGTCTTATTGCATCATTATGCTTAGCATTAAAACTTACTTCCAAAAAACCAGGAAACACATGCACATGTGACAGAAGGAATCTGAGAAGAGCTAATGTGTATGCAGTGACATGGAGTTCTTTTTCCAGAGCCACATCTTCTGCTCACAGTTGACTTGTCTGAGCAAATACCATCAGTACTTCCTCCATTCATTCATAACTACACTACATACATGGATTACTGTTTTCCACCAATCTGTTTTGGATATGTTTCAAATAGAGGCTTGCTCCATTTGGGATTGCAGGTGTGAGCCACCATGCCTGGTTCCTTTTCTTAATTTTTTAAAAAAAATTTAGTGGGGCTGGAGAGATGGCTCAGCGGTTAAGGGCACTGACTGATCTTGCAGATGACCCGGGTTCAATTCCCAGCACCCACATGGCAGCTACAAACTGTCCTTAACTCAGTTCCAGGGAAATGTGACACAGGTGCACTCACATACATGCAGGCAATACACTCACTCATACACATAAAATTATAAATAAAATATTTTTAAAAATAGCAGATGAATCTTTATGAATTCTAGGCCAGCCTGGTCTACACAGTGAGTTCCAGGACAGCTGGGGCTACAAAGAGACCCTGTCTCAAAAAGACAAAAAAAAAAATTTTTTTTTTTAGTTACTTTATGTGTATGAGTGTATTGCCTGCATATTATGTAAGCTCACCTATGCATGCAATGCCTGCAGATATCAGAAGAGGATGTCAGATCCTCTGGAACTGGAGTTACGGAGGTTGTTAGCTGCCATATGAGTGCTGAGAACTGAACCTGGGTCCTCTGCAAGAGCAGCCAGTCCTCTTAACCATTGAAAACCTTTCATTTTTTAAAAACAGACTATTTTATTTATATGTATTTGTGTGCCTATGTAAGTTTAAATGTACCATCTATGTGCAGGTGCTGGTGGAAGACAGAGGGCAACAGATCTCCTGGAACTGGAGTTACAGGTGATTATGAACCACCTGATGTGGGTGCTGAGAACTGAACCTGGGTCCTCTGTAAGAGCAGTAAGCACTCTTAACCACTGAGCCATCTCTCCACCAGTTTATTTTCTTAATGGCAGTACTCTGTTCCATCTCATGGGTCTCCCTGTCCCTTTCTGACAGAGTTCAAATTGAGATGCTCTGCCACTAAGATAGTGCTGTCATGAATACACTTGAAACAGTTTTATGCAGTTGGATGTTTACTCAGAGGCAAAACTCCCAGAAGCTGAATTACTAAATTAAGGTGCTTGCACATTTAAAAATTTCATTGATTTTTGACAAGACACTTTCCAAAGAGACTGTACCCATTTAAATGATTACCAAGAGTGTCTAAGAATTCCAGTTTCTCCACAATCTGGCCACCACAGTCTATTATTAAACCTTTTGACTTTTGTCAAGATATTAAGTTAAAAACAGTATTACAGCCGGGCATGGTGGCGCACGCCTTTAATCCCAGCACTCGGGAGGCGGAGGCAGGCGGATATCTGTGAGTTCAAGGCCAGCCTGGTCTACATAGTGAGTTCCAGGACAGCTGGGGCTACAGGGAGACCCTGTCTCAAAAAAGACAAAAAAAATTTATAATAATAATTCAGCAACATTAAAAAAAAAAAAACAGTATTACAGGTCATGGAGACCCCACCAGATGGACTTTAACCAGTGTCCAGTCTACAAAGAGGGTACAGAGGAAACATATCCTCCACGCTTCCAAGTGAAAACAGCCATGGTCAAGCAGGACCTTTACTTATCTTCACGTAGATGGAACTGGTGAAAGAAAGGAGCCAGGGGCTCCTCCCAAGCCCATGTGACCCTTGAGGCACAGATCCTCAAACGACCTTAAGAGTAAAAATAAATTGGTTTATTTGAGCCAACTGTACGGTCTTAAACACCCAAAAGGAAAGTATAACCAAAGATTAAAGTGATCAGTATATTTATTTAATAGTTCAAGGGATTATACTTCCTAGACATTAGACTTAAGTCTATGTAAAATGTTATTTAGACAATTATTTCTCATTGATGATTTTGTTTCTAATCACAAAGTGCTGCTCAGATGTAAGACTTCAAATCTTGGTCTACAATACTGTAGTGCCCACCTGTTGCTAAGTGAGACAATCCACTATTGTTCTAAAATGATGGCTAAATGTGTTTTCTCCTCCTGTCTAGAAGCTTTTGAGAGGAAACTGACACTGATTCTAGCCACTCCAAAGCTATCAAAGTGCCTGAAAATAAATCCTCATCACTCTCGAGTCCAGGCTTGACAGACAAAAGAAAAATGAGGAGGAACGCAATGGAGGGATGCTTTTGGAAACTCTCATTAAGAAATTCCAATGGACTCTGATAGGAGGAACATTTGAAACTTGCCCTGTTTTAGCTTTTTTCTGGTTCCCTGTCTAGAACTTATAATGCTAACTACTCTTGCCTTTTACTTCTCCTTCATATCTCCTATGCACCAGTCAAGGAATTTCTTTTCTCACTACAGTTAAGAGTTATACAATTGGGGAGTCTTTTAGATAGACCCACTGAATAGGTAACCCAATTGCCTTACCCTGCGTCCCTGTTCAGCATGGAAGAAGCCAGAGAGGTCTGCATCCTGATTCCCTATTGGCAATTTGGGTAACCTCTTCAGGGGATGGTGTGATAAGAATAGGAGGTAGGAACTGGCTACACAGGGTAAAAAGACCCCAAAGAAAAGTAGCCAATTTCTTGGCAAAAAATCAAAATGTCCTTGGGCCTCTTAGCAACACACTCTGTTCCAAAGGCGAAAAATGTCAAAAGTATTTGGGAGCTCTTATCTAATCCCTAAAAGATTTTAGGGTTACCTCTTCAGACAGGGGAATGTTAGAGCAGCAAAAAGCCCCATTTAAAAAAAAAAAAGAGTACACGAGGTTGTTCAGGAAAAAGTGATGGGGAAATATGGGAGGAGTTGGAGGGGAGGGAATGGGCGTGGATTTAATCAAAACACCTTATATGCATGTATGAAATTCTCAATAAATTTTTAAAAAAGTTAACAAAAACAGTATTGCACTGTTTTAAGTTGCAATTCTATTAAAAGTAAGTCTGGCCACTTCTTCATAGGCTTTTTAAAGACAGGCTCTCCCTGTAGCTCTAGCTGGCCTGGAATTTGCTATGTAGACCAGGCTGGCCTCGATCTCACAGAGATCTGCCTGACTCTGCCTCCTGAGTGCTGGAATTAAAGACATGTGCCCCCATGCCAGGCTTATTCTTCTTAGGCTTAAAAAAAAATGATACTTCAATGTCTTTTCTGAGTTCATATCTTGTTGTTGGTTTTGTTGTTTAATAATTTGTAGGAATCTTTGTATGTAAAAAAACTGTTCTTTGTTACATAGTTGCAAATATTTTTTACGTTTGCAATTTTTCTTAAACTTTCTAATTTTCTGTAATGCATTGTTCTATGTATATTATTAATACATACCATTATATTAATAATTTTATCTTCTGGGATGTCAGCTTA